GTGTGCTCTTCCGATCATATTTTTGTAACTATATGTTGCTTCTATTAAATGGAACTATAAAATATTGAAGAGGTACGCTTTATGAGACCGGTACCCATTCAGCAACTTTCCCCTATATATATAATATATTTAAAATTTTATCAAGTTCTACCATTAATGTATAATTATATTCCATTAATTAATAAAATTTCAAACGTAAATCTGGACTTACTTTCCTTGATGATACCTAAGTCAAGTATGAGAGTGAATTTTTAGAAACTGTATCGAAATTCTGAGAAATTTGTCAATTCATGCTTTACCATAGACATCTATTATATACGTTATCTATTATACATGCACAGTATAGACATCTGGTAATCACCCAATGGACAGAAAGTTATGTCATATGGATTATCAATCAAACATGGATATGCAAATATTTTATATTTCTGATGTATAGACATGATAAAATGGTGCTACTAGTTATAATTTTTAGCGTTGAAAAAGATCCGCATGACACTACGCAAAAGGCAAAAGAGTCACAGGATACCAGCCACAAAATCCTAGAGCTACAGAAGAAGCTAGACTCCGCGAGATCGCAGGTAAAAGTCATATCATTCTTTTGTGTGGACCGAGGGGTCAACCACTACTAAAAAAATGTACAGTGATTGTCAATTATATTGGCAATACAACTTTATTGCTAGTATTGCTTTTGTATTGTCAGTAATATTATATGTACTACCTATTGCACAATATTGCCAAGTATTGCTAATATATTGCTAGGTATTTCTCGAAGTATTGCTATGTATTGATTGCGATGTATTGAGCGTATTGCTGGTACTGTATTGTCACAATACGAGCAATATATTCCTAAAAAAATATACACTGATTCCCATAGTGGTTGACTCCTTGGCGCGGACATGCTCGAAAATATTCTCGCGTGTTTAACGTCTTTCGTCTAACTATTATGCTCTCTTTCAGATTAAGAGATTACCAGGGATAGAATACAGTAAGGAGGAGCAATTGCAAAAGCTCGAGACTTTACGCAAGCAATTGAGACTGAAGCGTGAACTTTTATTGAAATATCGTAACACGTGCACATTCGAAATACCGAAAGTATAAAAAAAAAACGCGTGCATCCGTGCGTTTAGGATATAAAAAAATAATCTCCGAGGATGCCGCTAAGAGCTCTCTTCCGGTACTTGTTAAATAATGAAAACTTGATTAACAGATTAGCAGAATCCAAACCAATAAGACAAACCGCACAATTTGTAGTATATGTACTAATTAGAGCAGGTATGATTAACGGAACACGTCGCCCTATCTCTAATCCGCGAGATTTTATCAAGCAGCTGAAAGATATTGCTGACCAATTAAAGCGACAAGTAGAAGAAGAAAAAGATAAATTTAAGAAAAAATAATCTGTAATCTGTAGATCATACAATTCATTTGTCAAACCTTGCACATGGTTTCTGTATTTAGAATGTATAGCGATGGAAATTCTTAAATAATTTTTGTAAAGGACAATAAAATGTGTAAATTTCTGTGTAATAAAACAAAAATTTATTTAATACATTTATGATCACAATATTTTAGCAACATGTACAACTGATAATAAATGTTCAATTATGTAGAAATATTTAAATTTTTGTGAAAAATGTTTTTTCTCTCTGCAGCATGTAAATGATTTATTAGGAAATAGATATGCCTGATACAATGAAAAATTTTCTTTTTACATTTTAAATATAATATGCTATATCTTTGCTTGAAATTGCAAAATGTATTACAAAGTTGAATGAAGTAAATGTGTAATTATACGAGTATCCTCATATCCTTTTCACAAAATTATTATACAAGATGTAAGTATTTATTACAATGTGCACAGCATTGGCCATTTCAAGTTTTCTCTTCAAATTCTAAAAGCGTTGATAAAAGAAGTTCGCACACTCTTCTTGTACAAATGTAAATGTATCCATATATACATTACATATGGAGACATGAATCGTGTATTTCTTGATATTAATTTTATTCTGTATACATACTCGTAAAAAACGGACCACTTCAATTTATTACCACGTAATATTACAATGGTCCATTTTTTCCAGGGAAGTATATCGCCTTAAGATACGCATATGCCTTTTACAAAAATAATATAATTTATAAATACCGAGATTTATATTTTTTTGTCACGTTGAGTTAAAAGAATATCTTTTTAATATGATTAAAACGGTCGAGATACGAAGAATTGTACTGTAATAAATTTGTATCATTGTATTTTAATAAATTTATAGAGAATAGGTTTCTACACAATCTATAGAGTACGGGTTTTTTTTTATATCAGAAGAAAAATTGTTGAAGAATGCGGTAATTTCGCATCTCGTAGATCGTATTTTGAGAAACTCATACGTAGCAGAAAGTTATAAGAATGTTAATTATATGTGTTCTTTGTACACCGATAGACTTATACTTTTGCAGGAGGGTTCTGCTCTGTTAAAGGTTGAATATTGTTGATACTATTATGAGATCGTCCTCCTCTTCGACCTCTGCCTTTCTTATTCTGATTCAATCCAGATTTCTGGGGCACATTTTCTTGTTTAGCTGTTTGTGCTTCAATCATCGAATCGGTTTCAGTCATTTCTAGTGTCTAAAACAGAAAAATTGTATTTTTTATTAAATTTATATTAAATTTATTTACACACAATTTTATTAACAAGAATAAAAATATAGTAGATATATTTACACGGTTGAATTAAAGAAAAAAACGATAAATTAAAAATGATAATCTTTAATGTAGATACCTGTACGTTTGCATTCTGCCGACTTTGCGATGTTTTATTCGGCTTATTAATTCTGGATGCCTGCGTAGTTATATTATTCGAATGCGGTATAAGTTTCACTACGTTTCCTACTGCTTTAGTACGACCCTCTCTGAACACCATTCTCTGTCCAGGTTTTATATACTCGGGATGTTTGATAAATCTAAAATGTACTAACGCTTTGTCGCCCGTTCTCAGACAATCCTGAGACATTGACAATATAGAAGCAGTTTGTCTTATACTGCCGCAATGTACTGCAATAATTTTCGTGATAATATCGAATAATTAATTTAAACGATGAGAATATGACAATTAATCGTTTAATAATTACCCATTGCTTGATAACGGGAGCTGATTGTTGTAGGATGATGAAGCACTAAAATTTCACCTTCGAACTCCCAACAGGCCTGTGGATTAAGCGCAGGTGCGACCATCACCATACCTTTGCGTATGTGCGACCGTTTAATCTTTTTCAGGGCGAAACTAGCCGTTTGTCCACCTCTCACTTCGCGAACGGGCATCCTCTTTCGATGGATACTCTTGACAGTTATGGGTGTAAAACGACCTAGTGGATCAGGTCCTAATAGCAGTGTGTCATTCAGCTTTATAATACCTTTTAAAGTTGTACCGGACACTACTGTACCAACGCCCTGTAATTTTTAATTCTCATAATACTCTTGTATACAAAGAATTTGTATACTACAAAGTATCAGACTGGATTTGTGTGTGTGTGTGCGTGTGTGCGTGTGTGTGTGTGTGTGTGTGTGTGCGTGTGTGTATATATCTTGGATTTGTATATATTATTTACTTACTGGTACGGAATATGTATCGTCTATCTGAAACTCAGCGGGTTCATCATCATGACTAGTAATTCTCGCAGTTAATAAATTGAGAAACATCTTAAGAAGGTTTAGATTTTCGCCGGACACGTTGGACACTTGAAATATTGGGCACAATCTGCATGAAATAAATATTTTATGGATATTCTAGTAAATGAGATTTACTTCTTTTTTTTTGTATAAAATTATGATATACTGAACTAACCGTTCTGAGACAAAATTAGTAGCGCTAACTACTACGTCGTCAGGGGTCTTCACTGTAACCGGAACTTTCCTACAACCAGGAGATTTCAAAATTCTTATCAGCAGCTTCAGATTTTCCTGCAGAACATTCGGCGGGCACATATCGATTTTCGTCACGACAACAAATACCGGTACGGACAACGCTAAGGCAAGTCCCAGGTGTTCCTTAGTCATTCCTACAATGCCAGCGTTTGCTCCGATCATTAGCATGCCTGAAAAAAACAAACATTTGCATTGGGATCACACGATAAATTCATTAGGGCTCTTTTGAATTGCATAATTACAAATGACGCTGGCTGAAGGAAATATTTCGTTAAATTATTGACTCCGCTTCTGGATTTTTCATAGTTATAGTAACAATGCGATGTGTTTTTACCGAAGTCTGGAGCGTGTCCAGTCATTCCGAAAACAGTCGTCTTCAAGTATCTCTCGTGACCGGCGAGATCGATGAATGTAATCACTTTAGAGGATTTTTCACATATCTTCACCCAATCCAATGAACCGTGCTCAGGCTTATTAACTACGTTACCTGCGAATATACATATAATAACACTTATGATAAAAGATGAATAATCACATAAAGCATGTGTAACGCAGAGTCAACGCTCACCAACGCTATCGAATCCAAGTATATCATTTCCAACAGAGCTGGTTCGTCCTGTTTCAGCTTCGTGCTTGTGGCGGAATAATTTCTGACGCGCCAGTCCTCGTCCATTGTCAAGTTCACCGTGAGTCAGTACTCCCAACAGAGTGGATTTACCAGCATCTACATTACCAACCACAGCAACTCTATAAATAAAGTTTTTTTTTTAGCATAATTTGCCTCAAGCTAAAAGTCAAAGTCTATCGGGTAACTATTCGAAAACTGTATTATTAAATAAAAACCTGATCTCTAAAAAATCTTGTCGATCCAGACGTCTTCTCACTAGATACTGCCCCGTTAGACCGTGATCCGCCTTACTCTGACGTAGAAGTACACAATCTGCTTCCAATGTCGCAGCGAGAGACTGCAAAGTGGCAACCGACGCTTCGTACTCGTCCTCCTTTAATCCATCCTCGGATCCATCTAAGAGCAATGCACAGACAAAAGTTTAATTCAATGGACTTTTGGTTAACATAACAATGTATTGCGCAATAATCACACGTTTCTTTCTCCGTGAGGTAGGTCTCTTTTGGTACTGACCTTCAGCGATACCAATGTCAAAGATTGTTTCGCTGCCTCCATCCTGAATCCTTTCTTTCAGCTTCCTCAGTAATAGTTCGTATTGATCCTCAGATGGACTGACCAAGATGTTCTGAAATTCATACACACATTAATCTACATTCTTACGAAATATACTGTAAAACTGTTTATTGCAAGAGGCAACTTGACGTCCTGCTGTATATACCTTGCCTCTGATGCTGGAGTAATCTACGGTCGGGACAAGCCCGTGCTCCTTCTCCGTCGGCAGATGAGCGATGGTTTGCGATATGATAGGTCCAGCGCCCGACATAATATCCAGCGATGGTACGCTTCAACGTAGGTTCAACAGTTTCCTCCCGTGTTTCTTCCTCGCAACAGTTTGGACGGATTATTTATCGCTCCTGTATACACGCATCGGACATCTTCCAATATTTAAATCCGAATCTTTTCCCGTAAACTGCTAGTACTCGCATGTACATAACTGTGGCACTTAGAATTTCGCTTGCACCTTCAGCTGAGACCTGACACCCACTTAGACGCTCCGGCCGGCCATCCTCGTCATCTGAAATGACACGGCATAGATAACACGATCGCAAAGCGGTTGGCTGACGAGCGATTTCATCAGCCGAAACTCATAGTCGACTCACATGACCCGACTCATTGCCTCATTTGGCGTAATGTGATCGCTGATTATACCATTTCAATTGACTCTTTCAAAAATCGTATCGAGAAGCCGAGGAGGGAAACATACGTAGGAAAAAAAATAACTTACTACCTGTCTCGAAAACATGAAAAACAGATGCATATGACATGCGAATGTGTATGCATATCATCTGATATCGGTGCTCTACCCTACACATGTCACAAAACGTAAGCATCGGCCGCGAGCCTCTGCCAGGATTGTGTAACTTCGATCGGGTGACAATAACATATTGTTACGCACCGGAGGGACGTGCGTCGAAAGAGGATCGAAACGCCCGGAACGAGAAGCGATCAGAGAGTTTGAAAAAAAGGAAGAGAGAGAATCGCGAGACGTTGCTTTTTTCTTTCACGAGATAGATACCCGCATCCTCATCGAGCTCTTCGCGGACGACGAACGAGACACGCACGAGAGCGAGTCCCCCCCCCCCCTCCTCTCACGGTGAGATGAATGAGATAAATCTGAAATATTGCGTCCGAACGCATTCGCGTGACCTGTTATCTCTGGCAGTTGTTCGTTATATATCTAGGGGGATGTATTTACCTGTTAAAAATAAGAAAAGAGAGAACGTAAAGCTCACACTGTTGCGACTTCGAGTGAACTGACAGTGACAAGTCCGAAGTCGTCGTCGGCTCAGCTTAGTGCGCCTGCGAGCAGTGCGAACTGCTGTCAACGATTTTGCGCGCGTGTGGTGTCTGTGTGCGCATACGGTGTGTGTGTGTGTGTGTGTGTGTGTGATTTGGGCGCGCGAGAGGTGAACACTTTAATCAGTGGATAACTCGTGCTTTACGTAAGACGAGCCAATCGCGAGTGAAAGGGACATATCGCGGTCCAATCGCGTTGGATCAGAATCGGCTTGATTTCGTCATGCCGAGCATTTCGTTTCCGCGTTCTAGCGGAATACACGCATATCGCGTTTTTCACGCCTTCGCGGCTCGGAACGGCGGAAACGGCGTAATCTGTAACATAATCTTATAGCAACTCTTAAGCACTTCTTCCTTAAATTATTGGCCACGTCGTAGAATAATTGCAAATTTGCACGTTAAAAATTTCTCGGCACGCAGCTTAATATCTAAATGCGTGAATATGCTTTTTAAATTCGTTTTATATTATATATATTTACATTTATTATTTTTACAGTCATTACAGATTCACTGCAGATGTCTGTAATATAATTTATATAATTATTGACAATAAAAAAATATAATATAATAAAAACAAAATGCGAAAAATCGACAATGATATATATACATACATCGCGGCATTGCTGCAATAGTGTCATATCTCGAAAATTGACAATTTCGAGTTATTCATCACCAAATAAAAGTACACGCCAAAATCCATCTTTTCCAACAAATAACTCAAAATTGTCATTTTTCGAGATATGACACTATTGCAGCAATGCCGCGATGATCGATACATCTTGATTTTTGATGTCATGACGCATGAATAATAACAACAAATAATAATAATAATAATAATAAAATACATAAAATGATATAATGGATCGAGATCGGATAATGATAATAATAATGATAACTGAAAATCGACAATAATTCAGTCGAATCATGGCACGTAAATAATTAATAATATTTGACGTTATTGCATCTAACAATTTCACACGATAAAGTACGTACTTAATCTTGATTAATCTTGTTTTCGTAAATCGTAGTCGCGCGTTTATATATGAAGAAATTGACTAATCAAATATCTATTATTCTATTATAAACAATACAAACGTTATATTAATCAAAAAAACCTTCTTTCTTTTAATTTGGAAAAAGTTAAACACTAATTAATTTCTATGATTCTTATTCTGAACTCTTCTGACACTTATTTTAAACTTAATCCTCTCAATCTTCATCATCGGATAGCACATGTAGCACATGCGCTGCTTAATAGGTTATGTTACAGTCATTAATCATTATATATTCATACGTATTCTCATGGTGTAAGAAACAATAATATACGAAGTGATTCAGCGTTCCTGAGCAATCTCGAGAAGAAAAAATGTCGGGACGCAGAAAGAAGAACAAGAACAAATTGTTAGAGAGGAAACCCCGGCGTGTCGTCGGCAAGGAGGAGAAATATTATCGGGAAAAGGAAGAATTCGACGAAGACGACAAGGCAGGTTAGGTAGCGATATATCTTGCGGGATTTGCGCTCATATATAATAATCTAAATAACCTCGGTTGAATTTGCAGATGACGACGAACAGTCGATCCAGTTTCCCGTGGCTATGTGGGACATGGAACATTGCGATCCCAAGAAATGTTCCGGGAGAAAGCTCGCGAGACACGGGCTGATAAAAATCCTGCGACTGGGCGCTCGATTCCCAGGCTTGTGTCTCACTCCGGTCGGCGATAAGGTACCCCAACGAACGAGAGTATTTAAAGCTGTTAAACAAGACTATAATAGAACTATTAATACTAACTACTATTAGTTAACGTTAATAGTCTTACTATAATAGTAGTTAACTATTAACGCTAACTGCTATTAGTAATTAATGTTAATAGTTAACTACTATTATAGTCTTATCATGGAGATTTGATGTCTATAACGGGACGTTATGTTACAGTGCGTGAGTCCGAAGGATTGCGATATAATACGGGAGTACGGTTGTGCGGTTGTGGATTGCAGTTGGGCGCGGCTGGACGACACTCCCTTCAATAGAATGAGAACACCTCATCCTCGCTTACTGCCATTTCTAGTTGCCGCCAATCCGATAAACTATGGGAAGCCTTGTCAGCTGAGCTGCGTTGAGGCTATAGCGGCTACCTTGATTATAACGGGATTCCCAGACGAAGCTAAACTTTATCTTGGAAAGTTCTCATGGGGACATTCGTTCTTGGAACTGAACGGTGAGCTGTTGGAAAAGTACGCTCTCTGTGCAAGCAGCGAAGAGGTGATCGCGGCACAGGAAGAGTACCTGAAGAAAGCCTGGCAGGAGAAACAGGATAGACTTGGTAAAGATATTTAATAATTCCCTTTCTGTCGTCCATCGATTATTTTCACATTAATATATATTTATATATTTCTTAGCGCTTCCTGATTTTCCACAAAGCGATACGGAATCAGAAGAAGAGAAGGAAGAGAAAGGCGAGAATGTGATATCTAAAGTAACTAAGGAATTAGACGATATAAAAGTATAAAATATAGTAATTAAAGATAATTAGCTTTTTAACGAAATCGTCGATTTTCAATTTCCAACCATTACAATTTAAAAATATAGGTGCGCAACTAAGTTCTGGCTGTTTGTCAATAGATGGTTCCAGCAATAAGTGCTGGTCGATTTTTTCAAAACGTCATGAACCAAGCTCAGACATGGTAAACAAACCGTTTTGACACATTAGTGATTTTGTTTTGGCGTCATATACTTTTGGTTGTGTGAAAATGTCTGATTTTGTGCCAAATAATCGTCATTTGTGGGAAGTGTTGATTTTCTTCTTTCATTCGAAGAAAACGGCGGCTGAA